TTGGAGCCACCCCGACCCTATCTCAAATATACTCATTCCGGATTCTATCCCTTCTTGTGTGCCTGCAAAACCAACGCAACATATGCATATGTACTACACTTAGTTGTTGGACATGTTACATTTTTGTAGGCCAACATTCAACACCGTATAGCATCGCCAGGCGAATCGCCGTCCTATAGAACTTACCTCTTAGCCTTTGTGGCACCCTCTTATCACAGAGAACGCCCAAATCTTGATGCCATTTCAACCAACCCGCTGCAATTCTATGCCTAACATTTTCATCAATGCAGCCATCCTTTTGTAGCATCAATCCTAAATACCGGAAAGTCTCCTTCTTGGCCACCACTTGCCCGTCAAGGCTAACGTCACCATCATCATGTGTAGCCATGCTAAAAGTGCACGTCATGTACTCGGTCTTTGTTCTATTAAGTATGAAGCCTTTCGACTCTAACTTGTCCTTCCACAGCTCTAACTTTCTCTTTACCCCTGCCCTACTCTCGTCAACTAGCACCACATCATCAATAAAGAGCATACACCAAGGGATATCACCTTGTATATCCCTTGTGACCTCATCCATCACCAAGGCAAATAAATAAGGGCTCTATGTTGACCCCTGGTGTATTCCTATTTTAATTGAGAAGTCGCTGATATCGCCCCCACATGTTCGGACACATGTCATCGCATCCTTGTACATATCCTTGATGAATGTAATGTACTTAGTGGGACTTTGTCTTTTTCTAAGGCCCACCACATGACATTCCTCGGTACTCTGTCATAAGCCTTCTCAAAGTCAATAAAGACCATGTGCAAGTCCTTCTTTTGGTCCCCATATCTCTCCATCAACTGTCGTATTAGGAAAATCGCCTCCATGGTCGACCTTCCAGGCATAAACCCAAATTGTTTTTGGGTCACACTCATCACTCGTCGTAGGCGATGCTCGATAACCATCTCCTAGAGCTTCATTGTATGGCTCATCAACTTAATCCCACGGTAGTTACCACAGCTTTGAACATCACCCTTGTTCTTGAAGATCGGTACTAAAGTACTTCTCCTTCATTCATCATGCATCTTGTTTGACCGGAAAATGAGGTTAAAAAGTTTAGT